ACGGTATTTTCCACTGACTCACCTGCCCGTGATACCTCCCCGCTCTAATCAAAGGGCAATTCCGAGAGCTGTGCTATAAAAAGAAATAATTATTAAACATAACTGCATTTTTTTCCCCTTGGATGGATTGTTTTGCATTTTTCCGCTTGGCCCCCGGCTCAGGCAAATTTGCTCCACTTCAGGTGGATTTCTCCCTCTCCTTCTCCACCTTCCTGTGTCAAACACAAACCTGACATCCCGAGCAGCTCTGGCAGTCAGGAGACACAAGAGGGAATTGTTTTCTCTGTAGGAAAGGGGGGGAACATGGACATCACACAGTGACTGTCACCAATCCGGCGCAGGGAGAGCTCCTGCCCGAGCCAGGTCACCCCCCTGCAGAGGCCCTGGGGACCGTGAGCACAGAGGGGACATTCATAACCTGGTTCATCGAGTTTCCACTCCACAAAGCTGAATATTGGCCAGGAATGGGCTTTTCAGTGGCACTGGAGCAGGATCAAGGAAGGGGGGCTTGCCTTCACCCCTTGGATGGCGGATAAAGCACCTGCCTCTCCCTGGCACACATTCTCTGTGGGATGATGTATTCACATCCCTCCCTTGGGCTCCTTTCCCCTTCCAGCTCTGCAGCCATCCCAATGTGGGGATTTATCTCTGGCAGCTCAAATCTTCCCCCTGCAAAAACTCCCTGCCCAGTCCCAGGCTGGGACTTTTCCAGGGTGATTATCCAGCCAGGTATGCAGGTACAGAGCACAGGAATGCCAGGCTGGAAACTGGAGCTCCCACCAGAGCCACCAGCAGGCAACAAAAAGGGCCTTTCAGAGGAGCATCTGATGCCCTGCTATGTGCAGAGGTGCCAGGGGCTCACATCTTCCTGCCTTAGAAATTGCTCAGTGGCAAATTTCCCTGCTTTTTCCTGCTCAAAGGTGCCCAACATGTGTGTTAAAGTCACCAGAGGAAGTCTTGGATTCCTCCAAAACTTACCAACAGTGGTATCCAGTGACCCCTGGATACCCAGAGCTGGATGGCTTGTCCTGAAAGAGGCAAAGCCCACCCCTGGCAGTCAGGTCAGTGGAGCCACCAAAATGCAATACAAAAAAACTATACAGTTACATACTGTAATAGTATTATATTATACTGTAATACTATTATATTATAAAGCCATGGAATGATAGGACAAGGTGATATGGGATCAAACTGGCAGAGTGCAGATCTAGATTAGATATGAGGAAGGAATTTTTCCCTGTGAGGGTGGGGAAGCCCTGGCACAGGTTGCTCAGAGAAGCTTTGGCTGCCTCATCCCTAGAAGTGTCCAAGGCCAGGCTGGATGTGGTTTAGAGCAATCTGGGATAGTGGGAGGTGTCCCTGGTGGGATGAAATTGTCTCTAAGGTCTCTTCCAATTCAAACTATTCTTTGATTTGGTGATTAATAGAGTTAACAGCTTCATCACAGATGAATGCTTGCCCTTTCCATCATCCCTTTCCCTCCCTTTCCCAAGCTTCTTCATGTCCCCACAGTTTTCTTTGTTTAAACTCTGTATTTATCCTAATGTATGAAGGGCTGTAGAGCATGGGATATTCCTTCTTCAGTGGAAGTCATGTGGCCAAACCAATTCAGATGACATGATTTTAAATAGCATTATAATATTTTAGAAAGATGCCATATTGCAAATTCCACGTGAAATAGTATACACTTGGCATGTTGCAAATCCATTTAAATGTATTACTGACATATATGAGATGTCACAGCTGTCACAATGTTAACTGCTAATAAATGCCAGAAATATAATATACATCTATATCTATACATCATATAAATATGATGTATAGATAGATTATATATATGATATAGATATAAATAGATAATATGTTTATATATAAATAAATAGATATATAGATATAAATAGATATATCTAAATATAGATAAATATATCTATACATCATATAAATATGATGTATAAATAAATAGATATATAGATATAAATAGATATATATAGATAAATATATCTATACATCATATAAATATGATGTATAATGGAACATGGCAGGGCCCCAGCTTTGCCCCCAGGAGGAAAGCCCATCCCAGCTTGCTCCAAGATGTGTTTCCTCAGATCCCATCCCAGCCCTGCTCCATACTTTTCTCTCTCTTCCTCATGCTTTAGTTCCTGCACCCCAATTTAGAGTTTCTGCCGGGCTGCAGGCTGGGAACCTGCCATGCAAGTGGGAAAAAGAGGAAAAGCAGCTGCTTGGGAGGCATTTCCTCACATTCCCGGTGGGAGGGTGTGACCTGCCAGCCCCTCCTGGCGGGGTGAGGATCCGGTGTCCCCGGGGCCGCGGGACCTGGCGGTGCCGGTCCGACCGGTCCGACCACCGTGCCCGGTCAGCGGCTGCAGCTCCGAGCACTCGCACGTCTGCAGCTGGAAAACTGTGTAAATAAAGGTACTGTGTTCACTGTAATCATAGTAAATAACCTGTGCTTCCTCCTGGAGCTGCTCCAGGGCTGCTGCATCCCTGTGGTGAAGCTCTGGTTTGGGCTTGGGAATAGGAGAGCCAGGGCTTGAGGAGAGCACAGCTGGAAGAGAAGGGCTACAGTGGTGTTGTGCAGCTGGTTATTTAAAAGCTGAGCAGATTAATGTAGCTGTTCAAAATAAAGAGCAGGTTGTGAATGAGAGCTGTTGTCCAAGAACAGGAAAGTGCTGGGAGATCAATCACTAGCAGTGATAAAACTCCAAGGAAACCTTCTTACCTGGATAAGAGGCCTTGTCACAGCTCCAGTGTCCTGGCTGGATGGAGTGGAGCCACTGGTGCTCTGCTGGTGCTCGTGGCTGTGTCAGGCTGGGGCAGGGGGAAGGTGAGACAGGGGCTGATGAGGGGACAGCTGCAGGGACGGTGGCAGAGCAGGGTGTCCCAAAGGAGCTCTGCAGTGAGGGACCCTGTCAGGCACTGCTGCATCCCCTGGGCTGTGAGGTGAGGGCTCAATGACACTTCCAGTGCTGGCTTTAAAAGCAGCACCAGGGAAAAACTCCTCCAGGGAGAACACTGAAAACAAGTGAATTAATAACAGGCACATTCCCAAATTTTTAGCAGTTCTGAGCAATAAACCAGCAGCCTCAGCAGCAGCCCTTGGGGAGATCACCGTCACCCACACTCTGTGACCCACCCCATGCCAAACCCCACCAACCTCCTGATGATTTATTCAGCTGTTTGGGGTGCATGAGTTTAGCTCTTTATTACCAAAACTCCAGCCTGGGGAAATCACCAACTAAAGCTATGGGGTGAGTCAGTGTAGAGGCAGGAAATGTCCCAGACTCACCCCTGTTTCCTTGCTGTGACCTCTCAACCCCATTCCTGATCCACAGGTTACCAGGGCAAGGCTGTGGCACGGGAGGTAAATGTCACCCAGAGATGTTGTAATGTCACCCAGAGATGATGCCAGCACTGGCACAGCTGGGTGACACACCAGGAGGTGCTGGGGACAGCACCCTCTGTGGGGGCACCCACACCCCACACAACACCCCCTGCCCCCACGTGGCGTTGGGATATTTGCCTTTCTCAGTCTAAAGTCCTCGCCAGAGAAAAGGCTCCAATGAGCACAAGAGGCTGCACAACAACGAGCGCGGTGCAAAGTGCACCAAGAGGGGCGGTAACACCTAAAACAAACACAGCCGGGGCGGAGGAACGCGGGGACTGCTCGCACGGTGGCAGCAGCGCAGCACGGAGCTGCTCAAGCAGCACGGCGGGGATGCAGCAGGGACCGGGCTGGTGTGGGAATGAAGCAGGGATGGGGCTGATAGGGGATGCAGGAGGGACCAGGCTGGTGTGGGGTACAGCAGGGATGAAGCTGGTGTGGGATGCAGCAAGGATGAAGCTCCTGCAGCCCCCACTGCCATGGAAGAGCAGGTCAGGGGGACAAAGCCACCAAGAAGCCCCTCCTCAGCCCAGGACACACAGACACAGGGAATGTGGCCTCTCTGCCTGCTGTGGCTCAGGTGAGGGGGGTGACCTGTGTCACCCTGCACAGGGTCTGCCACGGTTCCCACAGCACAGGGCAGAAGCCTTGCCAGGACTGGAGTAGCACTCTGACACATTCCTGCCCGCCAAAACTTATAAAGCCACAGATGGGATAGATGAGCACCCACACCCCATCCCATGCACAAAGGACAACACCAAATCTCAGCAGGGAACCGCTCCAAGTGCAGCAAATCCCACCATGGGCTGTGCCCAGCTCATGTTTGCTGTGCTCAGCAGTTGCCCTTCAATGCCACCTGCAGTTCCCATTAACGCTGGATTCCAGCTGTAGGTGACAGAGCTGGAGAGCCAGCTGGCTTCTCCTGAGTTTTTCTTATTTTTGTTCCAGCTCTCCCCATTTCAGACTGTGGTGGCTCTTACCTGCTCTGCAGCTGCTCCCAAACCCAGGAGGCTGTTTCTGTCAGGAAAAAAGAAGAAGAAAAAGTACACTTCTTGATCTGTACTCTGATTATGGGCTTGAAACTCATTGCAGGTTGCCTTTGCTCCAGCCTGCAAAACCACCACAGACCCCAAAAAGGCATCAGGCCCCACTGGAAGTGCTGGCACAGCCTACAGGTCACCAATGTAATCTGAATAAAATAATAATAATAATTTATCAACCTCTACATTGATAACAATAATTTATCCAATTGGAGCACACTTTCTAATTTCTCCATCCTTTCTGCAGTTCTTAGTACTTCCCATTATATTTTCCATACCCAAGCAGGCAGTCCTTACTTACCTTAAACCCTTGAAATCCCCATTTCATACAGATGCAGACAGTCCCAGCCTCCTGCCAGCATTCTTGCATCCAGGAGCAGGCATTTGGCTGGGAGCTGGTCCTGGGAAATGTTGGCCCAGCCTTCTCCTGAATCCTCCCATCACCCTGGAGCCCCCAAAATTCACACAGCACTCAGGGTGTCCTGCACCCTGATGCCACGACAGAGATGCCAACAACCCATCCAGGCTCTCCAATTAAACCACATGGAGTTCATCCATACTTTAAAATAAGCTTTATTTAGATCTTTTATAATTTTATATTTGCATCCATGCCTTCAAGGATTCTCCCCCGCTCACAGGGGGAAAAGTTAAATCTAATGTTACCCATAATTCATATGCTATTTAGCAAAGTTCTCTTTTAAATAAATCATCCTCTTAGTAATTTTTAGAATTACTTCCTAATTTACAAAAAAGCTGAAATGCAAAGGAAACTACTCGATAACAAGGAGATCACTCATCTGTTCTGGTGGTTTAGAGTTTAAATTATAAAAAACGCAAGGAGAACAAAGAAAAAAAAACAGAACAGAACCCAAAAAAACAACAAAATATATAAAAATGCTTCTCTGCAGAGAAAAGATACCATGGGGCAAAGCCTAGTCTGCCACCCCAGGAGAGCCTGGGGGGGTTGGTCCCTCTGTCACCCCCTCCATGGCCTCTCTGCATCATCCCTTGGAATGGAATATACAGCGCGAGGGCATCGGTTTAGTTCGGTGATTTAAGACAAAATACCCTTATTTTTTTCAACCAGGGCGCAAGTATCAGAATTAAGAAAAATAATACACTATTATAGTTCATTAAATAAATCTTAATACATTTTTTTTTAAGAGCTTAAAATTATACTGTAAGCATTAAAGCATAAGGTACTTATCTTGGCATAAGCAGAGCGCGGCACGTGTTAGTGGAGAGGGGAGGTGGCTGCCGCACCGGGGGGTGGTTTGGGGGCATTTCCAAGGAATTTGGAAAAACAAGTTCCACCTGTGCTTCCAAATCACCCCAGAGCCAGAAAAACCTCCCTAGTGGGGACTCGTACCGATTTCCCCAGCCCCCTGTGACGGCAGTAACACCCCAAACTGGAGCGGGGTGGCCGGCCCTATCTGAGCAACATCTTGGGATACGGGATATCTGGGATATCACCTTTCTCCCAGCTCGTGCCGGATCCCCCTAAAATTTACTTGAAGCAAAGGGTGAGCACCCCTCAAAAGCAGGGAAAAACAGCGGGCAAAGCTCCCACCAGCTTGCCCCCATCTGATCTCCCGGCATGTGTTTAGGTTTGCGTTTTCCAAGGCGTTAAGTGCTCCTGGGGCAGCTGAGGGAGCCCGGGCTGGGGGGTCCACAGCCCCAATCTCCCCCAACAGCAACATCCCAGGACAGTACAGTACAAACACCCCCTTCCTCCTCCCCGCCCCATCCCAACCGACGTGGAAAAATATAAAAATCCCAAAACTTCTGCAATAATTTAGTTAGAATAGCTCCTCTGGGTTTGTGCAAATAAATTAAAACAACTAAAAAGGAACGTTAAAACACTTATTTCCAGACCGGCAGGCGTAACAACCAGCCCGGGTCGCCTCCGCGGGGCTCGGCCAGGAAGACATCACAGCGAAGGAGATTTTCTTGGTGTTGTTTTTGTGTGTTTTCTCTCTAAGATCCCTCAGCTGGGCAGGTCCTTCGTCCCCAAGCGAGGACATCCCGCAGGCTGGGCTCCGGAAAACAGCGGTTTCGGACAAGAGACATCACAAGCACAAAGTGCACAATATTTCTCGTATTTACAGAGACACAGCAGTCCTTCAAGTTTCAAGTTTTGTCAAAAGAACAAGAAAAAAAGAACAAAAAAACCCTCCCAAAACAAGAAAAAAAAAACCCCAACCCAAACGGACAAACTGAGGCGACAACAAAGGAGTTATCAGGATGGAAAAAAATCAACAAAAAAAACCATGGGAAAAAAGGGAAAAAACTGAAGTTACGACACAGCTGCATCGCTCCCAAGACAACAGGTAACAGGTCCACAGGTGGGACGGGCTGTGGGTGGGGATATGTACATGTGCAGGGCCGGGAGAGGCTCTGGCGCCGTCACCAGTCCGCGTCCTCCTCGATGTAGTAGTCGGGGGCCGTCCCGTCGAAGAGCCCGGGATCGAGGGACTTGCGCTGCTTCCCCCGGGCAAACACCCTGGAGATGGAGCCAAAGCCCATCTTCTCTTTCTTCTTTTTCCGTTTTTGGTCTTCCAGGTCTTCTAGAGACTGTGGGAGGGAGGACAAGACACAAGTTTAGGCATTCAGCTTTTCCTTTACCATTTTCCCCTTCACTCACATCAAGGATGATGGACCATGTGGTCCCAGTCCCAAAAAATTTGAGTCCAGGTCCCAAAAAATATTTGCAGCCAGATCCCACAAAATATTTTCATCCAGGTCCAAAGTAATGTTAAGATCCTGGACCAAAATACAATAACATTCCTGGAACCTGTGTGGTGGAATTTGCAGTGTAATTGGGCCCCCTCTCCACAGCTCAGGATTTTGGCCTCTTTAATTCAACTGGATCAGGATTCCAGCTCTGGGAATAAATAGTGAGAGCATCTGTGTGGATTGCAAAAGTATCCCAATGTTTTAGGCCAAATACAGAAGAACAACATGCTTTGGCTGGACCTTATAAAAATCAACGCTGGGATAGGCCTGAGCTCAGTGAATACCTGAGGGGCAAATTATGGGAATAGGAGACACCCCAGACTTACAGTGCAGGATGACTTCCATTCATCCCAAATTGGTGCCTCTGACCCACCACCCCCAAGTACTTTCTATCAAGGAAGGAGTCTCACAAGCAGGATTTGAGAGGATTTGTGCCCTACCTGTACGATTGGATTGTGCAAGTTCTTCTGTACCGGTCCAGGACTGTCCCCCTGTGGCACAAGGAGATGGATCCATTGAATCAACAACCCTGATACAGTCCAAGACCCTCCACCCCCAGGTCAAAAAGCAGCATTTGTGCAGCTGAACTGCAGTTGGAGTGGGATAAACCCCAGGGCAGCAGCTTTCCAGGTCAGCCAAGCCCCAACATGCCCACCCTGCAAACCCAATGCTGTTTTGGGAGGTGGAGGCCCTACAGAATGCCCAGAGCCCACCTCCCCAGGGCAGGGCACCAAAGCCCCAGCAGGCAGGCCCTTACGTTGCAGAGTGAGTGCGTTCGATGCCGGGGGGAGTTGATGTCACTCGGCGTGGATGACCGGTCACCTTCGGCCGCCGAGGCGTCGGAGATGATGGACGGCTGCCGGGAATGGCAGGGGCTCACTCTGACTGCTGCAAGGCAGGGGGAAACAGGGAATGAACACCAGCAAACCTCTGATGCACTTCCAAAAGAGCACAGGACTCTTAATTCCAGGGTGGTGGGTTTGAGCTGCACATTGGGCGCCAACTGTTCTGGTCTGAGTGCCACTGAGGGAACCCCAGCCAGCCTCAAGATGGTGAACAGTGGGTGGGGGGCACTCTTTTGTGTCCTGGGGGTATGGAAGGCAGCCAGGCTGATTCCCAGGGGTATGGAAGGCAACCAGGCTGATCCCCGGGGTACAGAAAGACAGAGGGCAGCCAGGCTGATCCCCGGGGGTACAGAAGGACAGAAGGCAGCCAGGCTGATTGCCTGCAGCAGAGGAGACACTGAACAACGGTGGAAGATGAAGGGGTTGACTCTTAGCAGAGGTTAATCCAAGGTTTATTTCAGGAGCTCTGGGGAGCCCCTACCACCTCATGGGCCTCCTGCCGAGAGCCCCAGGAGAGGTGCCAATGTTACATTTAAAGGGAGGTGGAAACCTAAAGTAGATAACATTTTACTAACCAATAAATGACCCTAAGGGATGGATAGTGGGGGACAGATATTTAGGACAGCGTATGGAGAAACACTTGGGGGGTTAACCCCTGGCCTCTGGCTAATCACTTAATGTCCTGGACAGAAAGTTCTAGATGGAGGGGATGGGATGCTGAGTGATTCACAGAGAGCCAGGGTGGGGATTTGGGGATGATCTCGGCAAGGGAAAGGGATTACACAGGTAGAGGGAGGGGGGACAATCTGGGGTAAACCATTTAGGAAAAATACGGGGATACAAAACCAAAGCTTTTACAAAGTATAAAAACACACTACAACAGGGAAGGGTGGTTTTGACCATCTTTCCTCCCCAGAAGGGGTTTGGCACTGAGGATTTGCCATCCCAGGGGTGCCCACCTTGCCGGTCTGCCGAGTGCTGGGGGTGTGAGTGGTAGAGGGTCTGCTGGCTCTGCCGGATGGCGGCGGTCAGCGGGAGGTCAGCCTGCATCACCCACTCCTGGTTGCCGTTCAGCACCGTCTCGCCCGGCATGGCCAAGGAATGGCGCTTGGGCACGTCCTTGGTCAGCGTAGCCAGCGACTGCTTGGCCTGGGGAAGGACATTAGGTCATTGAGTTGGTGGTGGGGGAGTGGGAAAACCATGTGAACATCTCCCAGAGCAGCAGAACAAGCAGCAGCACACTGCACAGCAAACCCACCCTCCCCCGGGCAAGCAAAGATCCCAACTGTGCCAGAGATATCAAGCTATTTTTGAGTGATCCCCATGCCAAGGATATCAAGCTCCTTTTGAGAGATGGAATATTTTCCTCTCATTTTTGCAGTAGTGCAGCCACTGCAGCGAGCACTGAGATCTGTACAAATGATCCATCCAGCTCACCATGGCCAGCTCGGCCTCCAGCTCCTTCATGCGGTTGTCCTTCAGGTCGAGCTGGGAGCGGAGGGCGCTGGCGTGGTCCGTGGCCTCCTTGGCCTGCCGCCTCAGCTCCCACTTCTCCCGCTCCAGGAGATCCTTCTCCTTGGCCAGGGCCTTCACCGCGTCCTCGCTCTCCTGCTGGCACAGGGGTGGCCATCAGGAAGGGAAAATTTAACTAAAAACCCCCTTGGGGACCACCCAACCACGAGCAGTATCTTAGATGTCACAAGAGCCCTGTGCTGGCAGGAATGTCAACCTTTTTTGGGGAGATCCAGAATGCAACTGGTCCCCAAAAAGAAATGCTCACTGTGCACCTGGTTAAAATGACATCAAATCCCCCAGCTCTGCTTTCTTTCCTCCATTTAACCTTAAACTGCTGTGGTCATCCCAACCCCACCAAGAGCCCAGCTGGGGCTTTAGTGGGATTTTGCCAGATTACAAACCAGCTTTCCCACTCAGCCCTCTGTGCCACGAGAGCACGGCGTGGGCTCTGCACTCACTTTCCTGTGCTGCTCGTAGTTGCGGATGAAGTCGCGGAGCTGCTCCTCCCGGCTCTCCAGCGTGGCGTACAGCTGCTGCATCTGGCTCACCAGGTCTGTCTTCTCCCCCTTCAAGCGCTTGCGGTCGGCTTTCATGGCTGTGGGAGAGAGGATCACTCCAGCATGGCAGCCCCTTGGCTCCATCTCTTTTATTTTTCATGGAAAAAGCACCAAAATGAGAATTCTGGAGGTTGGGAGAAGATGCCCAGTTCACCCCCATTGCTGCACCCTTCAAAATGCCCCTCGTCACTGCCCATGCTCCAAGGGGCAGCTCAGACCTTGGAAAAGGAAGCTTGGGAGCAAAACTGCAGCCTCAGCCTCGGGGCCTGGCACAGGAAAACCTGCTGCTCCCTTTCCAGGATAAATAAACCACAATCAGTTTATTTTTAGCAGCGAGGCAGATTCCAGAGCGCTCCCACGAGCCCAGGGCACAGCTCCCTGAGTGTCCCCATCCCCACCCAGCTCAGGGATGCTGTGTTGGGATGAGGGGATGGAGCAGAGGCACGTGGGATGTGATGGGTGATTCAACAGCCCTGAGAGGAACCCCAAACCCTCATGTTTCCCTCCTCATTGCACCAGTGAGGGATGCTCAGTGACCATCGACTCCAGGACAGCCACAAAAGCCAAATCCAGGGAGAATTACAGAAATCTCACGTAGGACAAGGAGTTTTGGTCATTCTGTACACCAGTGCTTTACCCAGTACTGAACTTGGTCCTTGGCAGTGCTGCAGGAGTGCCCTGTGGCTCCTTGCTCCAGATACAGCCCACATCACCAAAATAACGCCCAGTTTAGGATTCAGATCACAAATATTTCATTATATATCCCTGCTTTTCCACCCTGCTAACTCAGGGATGCCATGAAACACCCTCTGCCCCTCCAAATGTCCCTGCACTCATTGTGTCTTGCAAGAAATGCCACCACAACTCTCCAAAGAAAAACATCCCCAAAGCCACCAGGGGCTGTGTATACTACAAAACCCACCAGAAGATGCTGCAGCATCACGAGTGGGACCTGTCTCCATGCACACATCCAACCTTTCTCCATCACATTACAGAAATCAAGGCACCTGTTTCAGCCCACACTGTGTTTTCTACCTGCTGTAATGAGTCACTTCATCTGGGGGTTAAACTGCACGTCAGGAACATCTGGGTTCCTCTCAACACTGTAAGGAAAGGAGGGGGTTTGCAGGTGAGAGGAGAAAAAGATAGGGGAAAAAATCAGACTAAATAGTGGAGAAAGAAGGAGATGCTTTGGACTACAGAGATTTTTATCTGTTAAAATCCAAGAGATGAAACTCTTTGGATCAACTATTCTGCTAGTAAGCACTGGAGATAAATCAGAACACCACAAACCAGAAAATGAGGTAGGAAATGCTGCAAAAATTCACATTGTCCTGTGACAAGGAGCTCTTGGGAGTCTTCCTCGCCCACTTCAATGAACACGACTCCTCCTGGGACAGCTCGGCCTCTTCCGACACCAGGACTTCCCTTGCTTTATTCCCATCTTAGGAAATTCCTACAGAAACCCTCTAAAAACAATCACAACCACACCCATGCCTTTGAAAAAGCCCTTTCCCACTGCCTGTGTGTACTCAACCACCACCTTCCCCTGCCCAGTTCTTACACAGGAACGAAAAACTTCCTAAAAATAAAAAAATTTATTGATAAATTGACCAAACCATAGTGGGTCCAGACCCCACAGACACATATGTATCTATATATGTAAAATTTAATTTCCTCAAGGATACTCAGAGGCTCTTACAAAAGTTTAAGTCACATTTGCCGATCTCTGATGCTGGAGGCAACAAAAAGAATCCTAATGAACTTAATTAAATAGTGAGTCCCCTATAGCATACAAACTCCTTTAATTAGTGGCAGTGTTCATGGCCCTTAAAGATTTACAGAAAACACTTAATCATTTGCCAATAATAAAAAGAAAATGCTCTGAAGTAGTATTAGAAGAAGAACAACTATATCCCAAGGTTGAATATGTTTTGATATACCAATATTTACCAATATTTATGCCAATGTATCAATATTACAAGAAGATTATGAGGTTTGAGTATTGAAAGAGCAGATTTTTTTCCTATTAACCCAACAGGACAATTTACCATTCACTGCATTTCATATTTGAGAGATTTGCTGAAATTAACAGACTTTTTTTTTGCTCCCTCCTATTGCTCTCCTTCCTCCAAGAACGATTAGCTCCTAAGCTTAAAGAAGATTTATCAGTCATTTGAGAACTTCATTCCAAGCCAAATTAATAGGAAATTAATTGAAAAAGGCAGGAGAAAAATAAAAAGTGAGGCAGAAGTGAGCTGTGAGGGCTGCCAGCAGCTCCTGGACCGAGCCCCACTTGCAGCAGCAGCTTAATTTGTCCTTAGCAAACAAGCCCAGCTAATTACTCAGTCGGGGAAAACGAGCCTTTGCAATCCATGGCCAGCCAAGGAGGGATAAAGCAGATTTTCCCTGGCTATCGTGTCCATCTGAGGAGGTGAAATGGCTTTTTCCTTTCATCTGGTGATCCAGGGCCTGGTTTCCATATCCCAAACCCCCACAAGTATCCAAACAAACTCCCCCAGCCCATTGGCACAGCAGGCTCTGGACAAACCTCTGACCTCTTCCTAAACCCAAGAAAAGAAGCAAGAAATCCTAAACCCAGCCCATGAGTGGAAAGTACTTCTCCTCCTTGCATTATTCATTTTCCCCTCCCTCCAAAGCACGTGGCAGAAGGAGAGGGGTGAACCAGCAGCCCCCCTTGGACTCAGCAGCTCAGCACCAGCCTTGGCATCAAGGGATGGGGGAGATGGGTTGGGATGGGCTGGGTGAACCCCCCAGCTCCCACCACCATCCCCACCTGCACCAGCTCACCCTGCCCTGGTGTTACCTGAGCTTCCACCTCCTGCCACTCGATCCTCTCTCGGTCCTTTGGCAGAAGAATGATGGACACAGAGGTAACGGGACCAGCTCTGAGCTGGGCTCCTCCTGCAGCCCAAACAATTAAAATCCACCCCCTCAGCACCTTTTATTCCCAGCTCTATGTGAGGAGCCAAAATCCAGTGGCTCACTGGAGAGGCACAGCCCTGTCTGGGACAGCAGCAGGGCTGGAAGCACCCAGTGATGCCACCACTGGCCCCACGCTGACCTCACCATCCAACAGCTTCCAGCTGGGAATTAGCTCCTATATCCTAAACCCAGGCATCTCCCCCCAGGATGGGGGCTGCTCTAAATACTCCCTTCTCTCTTTGATATAAATAGTGTCAGATGAAGGGGATATCAATTACGGAACATCCTGATGTGGAGGGGACTCACAAGGATCACTGATGTCCAACCCCTGGCCCCACCATCCAGCCACAGTTCCCTTGGAGGACATATGAGTAATAATTAGTGTGACTATCTTGATAATGTAATATTAGATGAAAAACTACTGCTTGAACCATAGAAGCAGCATCTCTGCCCAGTTTCACACTCCTGGGATGAAACAGCAATGCCCAGACACACAACAGGGCACTGACAGAAGATGCAGCACACCCCTGAACTCCAAAGAGCAGCTTCCCATGACTCCCATCCACTTCCAAGTCCTTCTCTCACCCCACACAATGTGAATTTTCATGCCAGGAACAGAATCAGAGCTGACTTTCTCCCTTACTGAATCACACACTCATTTTCTGATGCAGGGCAGGGCCTCCTTGGGGAGCATGGCTGAACCCCAGAGACCCCCTGTGCAACAGGAATGTGCAAACCCATCCTGTCCCATTAACATTTACTTAATTTCTCCTGTTTCTTCCTTGCAGCCATGAAATCCAATATTGTCACCATGACTAACCCATAAAATCAGGATGGCAGTGCTGCTCCTTGCTTTGCAATTAAAGAGCCCTGTGAGGTCCCTGGGGCAGCTGTCACCAGCAGGAAGATCTTCACATTGAAAACATCAACATTCCATGGTGTCAGGCAGAGCCAGCACTCACTCCTGGGGCTGTGGAGGTTTGGAGCAGGCAGGAAATTAGAGCCCAACGTCAAATTTCAGGAAAAAGTGAGGTGAGGCAATTCTCCATCAGGGAGTTTAGCTGGTAACAGCCAAGGGCTTTCCAAACCTGACCCAGCAGTCAATGAGCTGATCAATGACTTCTGAAAACTTCAGGTGGGTCTTCAAAGGAGAACAACAGGTTTTCTGTAGAGATCCAGGTCCTTAGAGTGGAGATGGCTTTCTTGGCTGGGTCCATGGCTGGGACATCCATCTGCCAGGACATCCATCCAGTAGGACACCCATCTTCTGGGACACCCATGTGCCAGGCCATACATCCTTCTGGGATATCCATCTGATGCAAACCTCATCTTCTGGAACATCCATCCACTGGGACACCCATTTCTTTATTACTCACCCCCTCACTGCAGCAAGTTGAGGGTGCTGTGGATCTCTGTATGAGACTTTCCCCAGCCCAAATACTATTTCTGAAGAATCACAGCTTTGAGCTGAAGGTGAGAGAAGGAGAAAACCAGGCTACAACTCATTCATGGAGCAGACACAAAGTTGGTTCATGCCTTTCCAAGCAGCAGGGAAAGCCAGCCTGAGGTTTCCAGGCTGGCATCAAAAAGGAAACAGAAACCAGGTTTGCTCTCGGTGTGATAATCCCGCAGGCGAGCTCCAGCAGATTGGATAAAGCTTCCCAGAAATGGAGTTTGTGCCATTAGCCCACATGCTCATGGATGTCACCCAGCCAAGAGGCTCCTCAAGTCCCCCCAGGCACTTGGGCACAGTCCCTGCCCACAGCAGGAACAGCAGTAATAAAGCTGTCTGCAACTTCTCCCATCAGGGATTTCCACACCAGAAATCCAGACCACATCCACACCTTTCCAGCCAGGATGGGGGAAATAATAACTGCACTAATGCTGGAAGCACAATCCAGAGTCCCAGCCGTGGCAGAAGTGGAGAGGGAGGTAGGATGTAGCACGATGGGATTTTAATTGGATGTTAATGGAATAAAAAAAGTGCAAAAGATGGAATTAGCCCAGGAAAAAAGTGGATTAAAGATGCACAAAGCACATGCTGACAGAAATAAAGGAACTGGTGGAGTCACTCCTGCAGAGCACCCTGTGCTGGGCCAGATCCCTGCCCCTACCCTGCACAGCAAGGACAAGGTAAACAGCACAGCGGAGATGCAGCACAGGCTTATCAGCTTTATCCTGTGCCAAATGCTGCTGAGAAGGGCTGGAAATGCATCTCCAAACGGGGACAATGAACCCACCCTCCATGGAGACCATCATAAACCAAACCCTGTGTGGCTGTGCAAAGTAAAGGCTTTTAAAAACTGCTGGAGCCCCCAAAAGCAAACCTGAGCAGCAAACCCTCTGTGCTTCCCTCTGCAGCACAGCCCAGCAAGCCAAGATCCCTCTGAACCAGCTGCACTGCACTTCCAGGCTCAGAGCCAACAATGATGACAGATTTCCATCTAATTTATCTGCTAATGACATTCCACAGGACCCACCATGGATCGTGGGCTGCTGCAGCCTCTGCTGCTGGTGTGGGGCAGCCTTTGGTGAGGAGGATGTGGGGCTGGGGATGCAGGACACAACTGACACAGATCCCTGAACTACAGGACAGTGTGGCCAAGGTTCCCTGTGCTCCTGGCACAGCTTTATCCCACACTCAGAGCCATGGTTTCCCCACTGTGTCCATCAGCAGCTCCATCTCCCCTGGCAGACCCAGCCACCAGGCGCCGTTTTCCCTCCACTTCTGGCTACGTTTCTCTCTGCACAATTTTTCGCAGAAAGGAAAAAGGATTTTTTCCCCCTCCAGCTGCTGAGCTCGTTTCAAAGTTATCCATCTCAGTCACTGCTGCCAAGCCTGCTCTGCTGCCCAGAGCCTCCAGCCCAGATCCAGCCTGGACAACTTTCCCAAAACCACAAAAGCTTCTCAATATTGCAGGACAGGGAAGGAGCATCAATTGAGAAAAGCTTCTTGCTGTGTGCCCATCCAAGTGTCAACTGGGATTCTCTCTTCCTAGCCACCAAACCTGCAGAGAAGTCCTGGAAAACCAAGCTCAGAGGCTTGAATATTGGCAAATAAAAGTCCAATAAAACCACAACATTATATTCCTTAAAGACTCTCAATTTTCAAGGCAAACTCACCTTTTCTCTGGAGTATCCTCCACAAAAGCACATACAGAAGCTTCTGAGATGACTTCTTACTCTTTTTTTTTGTAACTAGTATTATAATAGTGCTGCTTTTCTGCATTTTGCATTTATCAGCACATCCCCCCTGCCCCATCCACATGGAATAAATATTCCCTAATTAAGACTTTTCTCCTCCAATTACAATTCTATAAACCCAGAGCATTTCCTGCTGCCTGAGGCTGCACTGGTGGTGTGGTGGGAGGCAAGACTTTGGAGGTATTTTCCCTGTTGCTGATTTATAAGGATATTTTTGTACATCAGAGAGTGATAACAAAACTTCCTGAAGTCCTTTCCCCAAATACTGACTCAGCCCAATTCCCTGTGCCTTGGAGCATCTCAGCATCCTGGGCAGGGGGAGATGCAGAGGCCCCACAGCTCCCCACGTGCTGCTCAGCCTCTGAGCCTGAAAACTTTTGACAGCTTCTCCTCATAATCCTCAAATATGAGCTGACAAGTGCAAGTTACACTCGGCATGCTGGGGATTGCAGATGATATTTAGAGCCAGGGTTTGACGAGTGAGAGCCTTCCCTGCTCAGGATCATCCCCTGGCTCCAGCTAACAAACCATCCTGCCTGGATTTATTGGCAGCTTGGTTTTAGAGCAGAAAAGCTGCAATGTTGTATTTTGTTCCACACACCCCAGTCCCAGGGCTTGCAGTGCTGGTAAGGAAGGGGGAGCACAGCTGACACAAAAACTCCCCAAGGGAGGCATGAAGGAAGAAGGAGAGCCTGAATGTCACCTGGAGGGAACCCCAAGGAAAGCTGCAGCCACCAGGAAACTCCCAGCTTCCCTCCTGCAAGTCTGAGGGGCTCAAATCCAACCCAAAGCCCATCACCAGCTGCATTTCAGCTGCTGCCTTGGCTCTACTCTACAGCTGTGGAGGAATTCCTTTGCAGTGCTGCAATCAGCCCTGACATCCCATTTCCCAGCCCACTGCTGCACCCCAGTCCTTGCCAGCCCCACACCAGCCCTGGCTGGGACAGGAGAGCAGGGGGGACAGGGGACACCAAACCCCCAGCAGGAGCAGCTGAGGAATGCACTCTGCAGAGCCCAAGTGAAAATGCTGGCTTTTCCTTCCCTCATTAATGAACATTTTGAAAGTTGAGGGTGCTGGGGAGAGGTGCAGCTGAGGGAGATGCAGCCCTTACCTGTGGGAACCCAGAGCACTGGGAATATTTCTGTGTCTGCTCTGGGGTGCCCTGACCCCCAGGGCAGCACTGACTCTGACCCTCATCCATGGAGAAAGTTTCCCAGACTCCAAGATAGACTGGAACCCACAAAAATGTGAAACAGATTCTAGAGAGCAGTGTAGGTGTATCACTTGGTGAGAAATTGAGGGTTTGGGATTTTTAGTGTGTTGTGGATGGCAGCAAGATGGAGTGTACAGGGTGTTGTCCTGGGTTTCTTCTTCATGCTTCTTCCTTCTTCATGGATTTGGGGGCATTTTGTAATTGGGCAGAAAAGTCTGCATTGGGGGCTCTTTGGTCTCAGTTATTGGGTTAAAAGGGAAAATAATCCAGGTGTCAGCTCTTAATTGGACAGTTTAGTCTTAAAAGCCTGTGTACCAAGAGATTGTTGGCCATTTTGTGCCTTCTAATGAAAAGCTGCCCAACTCACAGCAGTGAGACTGTTTTAGTGATAAGAAATAATAAACACCTGAGTGTGAACATGAACTGCTGTCTCAGTGCCTTCAATCCAGACCCAGAAAAACCCACAGCTGGAACCCCCACACTCACCCTGCAGAGCCTCCTTGGCACGTGCCAGCTCCTGCTCCTTCTGTGCCAGCTGCACCTTCAGCTCGGTGGCCGAGAGCACCTCTGGGGATTTGCTGCCGTGGGTCTCCTCCAGGTCCTTGCTCAGCATTTCCTTCATTTGCCGGAGCAGGTGCACCTCCTCCTGCAGCTGGGCCACCTCCTCCCGCAGCAGCGCTGGAGGAAGAAGGGACACAATGGCAGGAAGTGAGAGCCAGGTCCGGCACAGCCCCAGCTCCTGCTGCAAACCCAGACCCTGGAGAAATGCTGCTGGGAGGAAGTGATGAATGTGACTCCATGTTCTTAGAAGGCTAATTTATTATTTTATGATCTATATTATATTAAAGAATACGAAACTAAATAAACTAAACTATACTTGAGTTGAACATGAGTCAGCAATGTGCCCTGGTGGCCAAGAAAGCCAATGGCTCCTGGCCTGGATCAGGAATTGTGTGGCCAGAAGGAACAGGGAGCTCATTCTGCCCCTTTACTCAGCACTGGTGAGGTCACACTTGGAGTGCTGTGTCCAGTTCTGGCCCCTCAGTTTGGGAAGGATGTTGAGATGTTTGAGCACGTCCAGAGGAGGCAACGAGGCTGGAGAGGGGCTGGGAACACAAACCCTGTGAGGAACCACTGAGGGAGCTGGGGGTGTTTAGCCTGGAGAAGAGGAGGCTCAGAGGTGCCCTTATTGCTCTCTACACCTTCCTGAAGGGAGGTTGCAGACAGGTGGGGTTGATCTCTTCCACCAGGCAGCACTGACAGAACCAGAGGACACAGTCTCAAGCTATGTCAGGGAAGGTACAGGTTGGATATTAGGAAAAAAAAATTCACCAAAAGAATAACAAAGTACTGGAATGCTCTCCCCAGGGAGGTGGTAGAATCACCATCTCTGGATGTGTTTAAATAAAGCCTGAACATGGCACTTGGTGCTGCATTCTGGTTGAGGTGTTAGGGCATAGGCTGGACTCAATGAGCTTAGAGGTCTCTGCCAACCTCATTATTCTGTGATTCTGTAAAGAATTCAGAAAGGATACAGACAGAAGGCTAAAAGATAATAATGAAAAAACTCATGACTCCCTCCAGAGCCTCAACACAGCTGGGTCATAATTGGCCAATAAGTAAAAATAATTAATATTAAACCAATGAACAATCAACTGTTGGTAAACAATGTCCAAACCACATTCCCAAGCAGCAAAACACAGGAGAAGCAAATGAGATAATATTGTTTTCCTTTTTCTCTGAGGCTTCTCAGCTTCCCAGGAGAAGAATCCTGTGCAAAGAGGTTTTTCCTGAAAATATGAATGTGACAGGGCAGCTGGCAAACCTGCACCACCTGGGACTGGAGAAGGAGGATGGGATGGATGTGATGGGAAGGCACTAGGAGGAGACAGGGAGCTTCCACTGGGTGATGGCTTTAGCATTAAAAAAATAAAAATAGTTGTTACTATGTAATAGTAAGAAGAAACCAAGAAGGACTTTCCTATCCAAACCACCCGCTGACAGGGCTGGGGTCCAACAGAGGCTCCTGAGCTCCCACACATCTCAGCTCTGCCTCCAGCCGCCCACATGCTCACGAACATTCAACAAAACCACAGTGAGACTGCGAAAGGGAAGATGACACTTCCATCCACAGCCCCAAATCCTGAATTTTGCAGATTTACACCCAGTCACTGCTCACTCCTCCAAGCTGCTACACTGCAGGAGTATCCTGGCAGAGCCCAGCTGGGATCTCCTTCATATGAAGCACTGGAGGAAAGCTCCAGCACCTCATTTCCTACAGCTGCACCCACTGTTTAGCGCAATAAAGTGTTTTTCTACTATTTCCACATTGCACCCATCACCCTCATGCTGCAAAACACTTTCAGGCTGTGCAGGTGCCACTGCAATCCTTCCTCTGAGTCTGACTTTGCTTTCCCTCCCCTTTAAAAACAGGTGGAGAAAAGCTTTATCACATCCCAGACTGGCTTATTGATTTCATAGAATCCCAGAATGGTTTGGACTGGAAGGCACCTTAAAGACCCTCCAGTCCCATCTCCTGCCATAGGCAGGGATACTTTCCAGTAGACTGAGTTGCTCTAAGTCCAACCTGGACTTGAACACTTCCAGGGGTGAGAGATCCACATCTGTCTTGGTAATTATTCCAATACACATCCTCTTAAGTTGGCATCATGGACATGGGGAGAAAAAATGCCCCCACCAGCACCCACGTCACAATTAGAAAAACAAAACAAAAATTAAACCCAAACACTTCCTCTCCAAACCACCACGGCTGTGTCCTTTCCTCAGTGCCCCTGAGTAGCAGTGAGCCTGGAGGACACCAAGTGGACATGGAACACAGGGATTTTTCTCCTTGTTCTTCCTCAGGGCTGTTTCCTGTCCGGCTGGGGAGGTGACGCTGGTGGCAGGACAGGGAGAGCAGCAGGACAGGACAGAGAGAGCAGCAGGACAGGGACAGGGAGAGCAGCAGGACAGGACAGGGAGAGCAGCAGGACAGGACAGGGAGAGCAGCAGGACAGGGACAGGGAGAGCAGCAGGACAGGACAGGGAGAGCAGCAGGACAGGACAAGGGAGAGCAGCAGGACAGGACAAGGGAGAGCAGCAGGACAGGACAGAGAGAGCAGCAGGACAGGACAGAGAGAGCAGCAGGACAGGACAGGGAGAGCAGCAGGACAGGACAAGGGAGAGCAGCAGGGCAGGACAGAGAGAGCAGCAGGGCAGGACAGGGAGAGCAGCAGGACAGGGACAGGGAGAGGCAGCTCCCCCCGGCAGCTGCACCAGGAAGGCAGAAAATCTGCTGCACATACTTGAAATGCTTCCCCAATGAAAACTGGCAAGGCCCCATTCTGTAAATTATTTAGCAATAAAGTCACTAATGAGGAACAGTCGAGCTCCGGGCCGGGGGGGGTTTGGTGCAGCCCGAAGTGATTTCTTGAAATCCGTGCAAAAAGCAAGAACTGGAGGAGGCCAAGGCCAACAGGATCTTCCCCAGGGATGGGAGGAACACAGTGTGATCCCTGCAGCCTCTGGGAACCCTGAGAGGATGTCAGGGCTCACACATGGTGCAGTATTCTGTGTGCAAAGCCCAGCAAGAGCCTTCCCCAGCCACAGAAAGCCCCCTGCAGCCACACAAAGTACCCCTGGCTGCAAGAAATTCCTTTTGTTTTTCCCTCCTGATAACTTATTTTCACCTTTCCTTACATGCCACTTCATCAAGGGCTATTTCTAGGGAAAAAAAATGAACCAGCAGATGAGGATGGAGGCAGGGCAGCTTGCACAGGGTTGAGTGATCCCGATGGATTCCTGCAAATTGCAGCATTTTGATGGGAACCAAGAAAATCCCTGCACAGCAGGAAGTGATCTGGGACAGGGAGAGGGGAAACAAGACCAAGGACAGACAGAATTCCAGAGGGGTGCTTGGGCATGGCCCAAGGTGCTGTAATCACTGCTCAGTGCAGCCCTCCAAAAATGCACTGATCCCTTTTGCTCACAGTTAGAAACATTGAAAAAAGGGAAAAGCATCCCTTCTCCTGAACAGGCAACAAGGGAATTTCATCCCCACTTAGTACTCGGCTCCTGATCCAGGCAGAAACTGCTGAAGGATTAAAATCTGAGATCTATGAGAAGCTACAGATGTAATCTGGATAGAAACATGCAGCACCATGCTCCTCATGCTGGCTGCAAGCCAAAGCCTATGGAGAACCTGAATTATTGATCAGTCATACATCCAAAATTCTTGCTGGTTTAGACATATAATTTGAGAGAGACACATATATATATAAAAGGATTATGCTTTGCAATATATAGCTAGATTTGCTACATATGCATTATTATATATATGGCAAAGCCGAATCCAGTTTAAATATATATATATCGGGTTTTTTCCCCCTGAAAACTTCTTTTCACCTTTCCTTACATGCCACTTCATCAAGGGCTATTCCTGGGAAAAAAATGAACCAGCAGATGAGGATGGAGGCATCCAAATACATCCCAAATTCTTGCCTTTTAGACATATAATTTGAGATAGACATATATATATATATATATATATAAAAGGATTATGCTTTGCAATATATAGCTAGATTTGCTACATATACATTATTATATATATGGCAAAGCCAAATCCAGTTTAAATATATATATATATATATATGTATATATATATATATATATAAAATTGGAAAGCACAATCCCTGCAGCCAGGGTTTGATAGGAAAATCCCTCTTTCCAACTCCCTCTCAGAGCTCCTGCCAATGTCATGGAGTCACAAACTGGTTTGGGTTGGAAGGGAGCTTAAAGCTCATCTTGTTTCATGGGCAGGGACACCTCCCACTATCCCAGGATGCTCCAAGCCCTGTCCAACCTGGCCCTGGACACTTCCAGGCATGGGACAGCCACAAATTCTCTGGGCACACACCTGTAATGACACCTTTGTACAGGATTTCCATCACTCCAATGCTTCCTCTGGTATTCTGCCCTCCAAAATCTCACCAATTTTCCCCTTCAAAGCACTGCTCTCCATCACTCTTCTCCAAGCTTCCATCCCAACCCTCCAGCACCTCCTGCTCACGAGGTCCTATGGAGAAATCCCCTGTTATTGGCATAATTTGCATTAAGAGACTCAGCTTGAAAGGGAAATTTCAGCTTAATTTTAAAACAGGGGGGAGAAAACCCTCACTGCTCTGCCAGGTTTAAGTACCTAAATAAATGACCCAAAACGTGCAGGCAGCTCTTGGAGATCGTTACAGAAAAGTTCCAATAGCTGGGAAAATGGGGTCAATTATTCAGGCACCTCATTTCAGCCTCTGCTCCTTCCACATCCAGGTGGCTGAGGGAGGGTTTCCATGGGATTCCTATCAGCTGGATGGAGCTGTGCCCCTGCCTGAGGCTGCAGAGGAGTTTGCAGTGAGCATCAGCCCTCCCTGGCAGGGACCAGGCTCAGTGCCCCTCACCAGGGACTCCTCACACCCCCCAGCATGATGCAAAAGCAATCAGGAGGAAATAATATTTTTAAAGGCTTTTTTTGCAATTCACCCTCACAAGTGTCACTAGATCAGTTAAATTTGCCATTAGGAATCACCTCCTAAATGTAACAACCTCCATGTGAAAAGCTTCCCCAACACTTTCCCCCCAATATTTTTGTCCCTTTTAAATTTTCCCTCCTCTTTGTAACCTTTTTC